CTTTTGCATTCCAGTCCCCTATAATGAAAAGGACATCTTTTTTGGGTGTTAGTCTAGAAGCTCTTGTAGGTCTTCATAGAACTGTTCAACTTCAGCTTCTTCAGCATTACTGGTTGGGGCATAGACTTGGATTATCGTGATGTTGAATGGTTTGCCTTGGAAATGAACAGAGATCTTTCTGTCGTTTTTCAGATTGCATCCAAGTACTGCATTTTGGACTCTTTTGTTGACTATGATGGCTGCTCCATTTCTTCTAAGGGATTCCTGCCCACAGCAGTAGATATAATGGTCATCTGAGTTAAATTCATCCATTTCAGTCCATCTTAGTTCGCTGATTCCTAGGATGTCGACGGTCACTCTGCCATCTCCTGTTTGACCATTTCCAGTTTGCCTTGATTCATGGACCTGACATTCCAGGTTCCTATGCAATATTGCTCTTTACAGCATTATTACAGCATTGTGTTAGTTTACATTATATAGCACAGTGACTCAGTATATATATGTAGATATATCTATAAACATATATGTGTATATTTTTAGATTCTTTTTCCTTATAGACTATTACAAAATACTGAGTATACAGTCACCCTTGTTGTTTATCTATTTTATGTATGTAGTTTGCATGTTAATCCCAAACTCTTAGTTTGTTCCTCCCACATCTTCTTCCCCTTTGGTAACCATAAGTTTCTTTTCTGTCTATGTTTCTGTTTCTGTTTTATAAATAAGTCCATTTTTATCAGTGTTTAGATTCTGCATGTAAGTGATATCCTATTAATATATAGTTTTCTTTCTCAGTCTGGTTACTTCCCCTCAGTATGATAATCTCTAGGTCCATCCGTGTTACCAACAAAAGATTCATTTGCTAAATGCTTGGTGTTCATTGTCTCATTCAGTGCAGTGAACACAGTTAACCTTGGGTGTGTACATCATGTATAAAGACAGCCTGACTGGGCAGAAACTTAAAGGCTGAGAACCAGATCAAAGTCCCGTAACTTTCCCTTGTACAAATAATATTAATGTTTCAGGAACTATCATCATTGAAAATAAGAATAAAATCACTTCCACATGTATTACCATCTTTATCCTATGCTCCTAAATAATTTCTGCAGCAGAAAATATTGCCCCATTAATGATGCCTTTCATTAAGAGGTAGCCACGTCAAAAGTGCAGACTCTGGAGCAAGATGGCCTAGGTTGTAACCTGAAGTCTACCATTTATTAGCTGTGAGCCTTCAGTGAGTTATTTCTGCCTGTTTCCTCAAGTGTTACAACAGGATGATTTGTGACTACTGCATAAGGTTGCTGTGAGGATTCAGTGAGTTTATTTGGATACTCTTCTGACAGTCCGAGCTGCTGTTTCTCTCATTTTGAGACTTGCTACTTGATACAATCCCATGTGACTGTTCTCTTTATTTTATAGTTATTGTGATTGGTTGATGAGCTTTGAATGCTTTCTTGGTTGATTGCAAACTCATAGCCACTGTTCTGTCTCATTTGTCCCCAAATAATAGAAATTTCCAGTGGTATGTGTGGGGGAGAGCGTTGGTTATAGCTGTATCCATTCAATATTTCCTATCCAGATAAGCTAACATAAGGGAATTGTGTATCATACAGTAAGGATACTGGTAACACTAATAATAATGATAATAAAATTTGCCATGTACTGATAGAGATCATCTTATTTAATCTTCAGAATAACTCAGCAAGTTAGGCATTAGTAATTTTATATGGATAAGGATATAGACACAAAGAGGTTAAGAAACTTGTATAAAATCATATATTGAAGTGATAAACCCAGAACAATTTCTGTCTCACTTTGAGAACCCGCTCATGCCCGTCCGCCACTCTGCTTTTATGTGGTGGGGTGGGGTGGGGAGGCCGTCTGGGGACCCGGGAGCTCGCGGATGCCTTCAGCGCTGCTGCGTGGGTTTGCACGGCTATGTACTCTGCGCACTTTGTGGGGACTCTTCTATTTGCTGCTGACTGTGCTCAGGCACCGAGGTGCTGGTTTGGATTGACCAGGAAAATTATGCCCAATACTGAAGTCTTCTAAGACCTAAGATGTGCCAGAATAGTAACTATTTAATTGTTGAGATTTTCAATGGAAGTTAAGTTTTAAGTAATGTNGGGGGGGGGGGGGGGAGTGAACAGTCTATTTCATATGAGACTCAAATAAAAAGAAATAATTCTGGCTAGCATTTATCTGTCCCAATTCTCATTTTTCTCTTTACTCAGGAAAGAATTTGCTGGGTAAGAGATGTTACTCAAGATCATGCAAAAACAAAAATGAATAAAAATTAGTGTAAATATGAGAAGTAGAGTATGCTAAGTTCTCCGGAAAGGTCTATCTCTAAAGATGTATGCCTCTTAAATTTTCTAGTTATTCCAATAGGGTAAAACAAGAAATCTGAGTAAATGCCAACTGGCATGTCTGCATCATTACTAGTTCATTTTCTAGGAGTGGCTGGCCCAAAATTCACTCCTGTGTATAGTCTTAGGCTTCTCTTAGATGTCCTCTTCCAGCTCCTGGGCCAGCCAATATGGAGCATATTCAGCATTCTAAAAACAGGGCCTGGCATCAATATCTGAACTTGTCCAAAAAGTTCCATGGTTATTAAAGTATTTTGGGGTAGACGTGGTAACAGATGTACCATCTTCCCAGATGCAGAAGAAGCGTGGCTTCTTACCTGAGAGGTCAGCATCTGTCGCTGTTTTCCTGGTGTCCATTGAACCAACTGCCTCACTAGACGCAGGTGCAAAGAGCCCATTCCTGTCGTGCTAGTTCTTTCTTAAAACTGAACTCCAGACAGAGAAACTTAATGTCTAAAGGGATGGCAATTTCAAACACTCAGCCAACTGTTTATGCCAGTTATTTTCTTAATTTTGCCAACAGTCTTAAAATAGGAACCATAATATCTGAAAGATCTTTCTGAAAATTTTTAAATCAAGTGTACTCTAGACAATAAAAAAGAAATGCAAAGCAGCGACATAGCCATATGTTGTTGAACATATTCATAAACTTGGTGATCTACCCTCCTTAACAGTCAGAAAGTCATTTTTGGATTCATAGCTCGATAATTGCATTAATATTCTGCTTACTTGTCATTAATGATGGAATTTCTTCTCATAATGCAGGAGAGAAAAAGACCATTACTGCTTATCCTCAGGAGAAATTGTTCTATTACCAAAAAAATGTTCAAAGCAACATGGATAATCTTAAGTTGTTTATATTTGAGTTTCAGATTCCTTTTTGATTACATTACGGTCTCTGTAAAACTTTCTGATTTCTGAGTAGTATTCTTATTTAAATGGTACTGTTTATATTTTATTTTCAAGCTCTTTCAGTATAATTTCTATGCTATTAGAGGAAATATACCTAATAAAGTTGTAGAACAGTTTTGAATTCTTAATAGGCCATTTAACTCGCTATGAATAAGAAGAAAAACTTTGATTTATATTTAAATTTTGGAGCTAGAAGTTTTCAGAATTAATTTAGGGTTTATTCACTATCTCACAATGACATGGGGATGATGCCATTTTCCTGAAATTTAACATAGAAGCCTAAAAATAAAAATAAAATAAAATAGAGGCCTAAACGTCCTGAGGTCTCTTTCTGAAACAAAGTCTAATAAGTTCACAATATTGCATTTTCATAAGCATTTAGATATTTATATATTTGATTGAATAAACATCTTTTAAGTCTGTTTTAAACTTATAAAATGTTAAAATATCACAAACATTTCTTTTAAAAGAGAATACAACCAAGTTCTCAACTTATTCCCTTTGTATGGTTTATGGAATATTTTTGAAAGATCGTAGCTCAGAAGTTACACAGTTGTTCTAACTTCTCATTTTAAAACTGACAATTCAGAAAGGATTGGGAAGAAAATGGATTGGTGAAAAGCTGAAAAAAGTATTTTTATTTACTACACATTTGTCATGTGCTTGGCACTGTGTGAAATATGGTAAATCCCAAAGCGGTGTTCAACATTTCTTCCCTTAAGGAGTCAATGCTTAATGAAGTTGCGGAAACAAAGCCACACAAATGGAACAATTAGGGAACAATACAAGGTAGAATAGAATCAAGTGCCCAGTTGAAGAGACAATGTTATTTCTCCCTGCATCAAAATATTTTTATTCCTTCATTATTGCATGGGGCTCTCTGTCCCTTCACTTTAATATGTGACTTTAGGCTAGGGATTGGCATGGATTGGAATAAATAGTTTATGCCTTCATCATTGTTACTGTCTTCATCTTCATCATTCCAAACATCTGAGTGTATCAAATCAGGAGATTTCCTAAGTATTACATAGAATGATTTAAATGGATATGATAAATCTCCAAATAAATTTTCCAAACTTAACTACATAACATGGATTAGATCCACAGAGAAAGAGATATGCAGAGAGGGGCAATTGTGCGAATATTTAACATCCTTAAATCATGTATTTCTCTACAGTTTCAGTGGCAAGTGGGATTTTTCCATTGAGAATGGGGATTGACATTTTTCCAGGCTCTGCAGAAAAGGTTTTTCTGGAGATGATATGCTTCAGAAGCTTATTGATGGGAGAGAAATACTGTTATTCTTGTTACCAGTATTTTCCTGCCAACCATAAACTGAAGGGCCGTAGATATCCAGTCAAAGGAAATCAGTCCTGAATATTTATTGGAAGTACTGATGTTGAAGCTCCAATACTTTGGCCACCTAATTCGAAGAACTGACTCGATGGAAAAGACCCTGATGCCTGGAAAGATTGAAGGCAGGAAGACAAGGGGACGACAGAGAATGAGATGGTTGGATGGCATCACCGACTCAATGGACATGAGTTTGAACAAGCTCTAGGAGTTGGTGATGGACAGGGAAGCCTGGCTTACTGCAGTCCATGGGGTCGCAAACAGTTGGACATCACTGAGTGACTGAACTGAACTGAGATGTCCAATATTTTTAAAACCAAATTGTTCTAGAAATCTATTTCTTGGGAGCATTCCTTCTGTTTTATATAAATTGAGCTATTTTATAACTAGTACATTTATTATTTTAATTCAATAGGTAATATTCAGGTAAAGATTTTGAGTGTATATAACTTGTGGTTTTTCTGGTAGAGAGTTTCAATCACATGGGCCATGCCTACCCCAGGCATGAAGTTCTGATCCTTTAATTTCCAATTCTACCATCTTCCCACTGCTGGCTGAGAACCAGTGCTTCAGTGAGTCACACTTCCTGTTAGGTGTTCAGTTTCTCAGGTATATTGGCCTGGGTACTAATGTCAACCCAACATGTCAGTTGCCTGACATACTTTAAGTCTAAATAGTAAACTCAGTAAGTGGGTATCAAGTGAAACCCAGTGTGTTTTCCTAACTTAATCCAACTCACACTGAGCCAGTGATTGGAGGAGTCAGTATTTGAACCACATCTGTCTCTCACTCCAAAGCCTGTGCTAATTTCACTGAACCATTAGGATTAGAATCATATCAAAGATGGTTTGTTTTGAGTTATTATAAACTTTGTTACTGACACCCCACCAAATTTCCAGATCTTTTTGTTTGGTTGTTTTTTTCTGTGTAGAAGTAACCAGAAAGTATTTTGTCTCTTTGCTCTTTTCCTTTGAAGGAATAACCACAGTCCTGACCATGACCACGCTGAGCATCAGTGCACGGCATTCTTTACCCAAAGTGTCCTATGCGACTGCCATGGATTGGTTCATAGCTGTCTGCTTTGCTTTTGTATTTTCGGCCCTTATTGAGTTTGCTGCCGTCAACTACTTTACCAATGTTCAAATGGAAAAGGCCAAAAGGAAGACATCAAAAGCCCCCCAGGAAACTTCAGCTGCTCCAGTGCTGAGAGAAAAGCATCTTGAAACACCTTTGCAGGTATTTCACTTAATATCCATTAGCTCATGATTTTAGCATCTTGGTGAAATTTCCATTGCCGGGGGAAAAGCTAGGAAGTTGAAAATCCCAACGATAATTTGTAACTCATTTAAACATTCAAAAAAATATTAAAGGATAATCATAAATTTCAACTTTGAAACTATGATTAATGGCTTAAAAATTAAACAGCTCTGGATGAGACAGATGTACTTGGAGCTAGTTCAAATGAAAGTTCAGAATTTAAAACTTTTTAACATTTAGGGAGCAAAATCTTATGTATGCACTTAAGAGAAATCTGTGGATACCCTTAAGCAGGTTGGAAAAGCATCTTTGTAGAGTTCATTGAACAAAATAAAGCAGCGATTCTTAGCATGGCTCTGCATTAGAACTGCCCCCATGGGGCTGTGCCCTTGTGTGAAAAAAGAAAAGAAAACCAATAAACAAGAAGACTCCTAGGTGCAGGTGATATCCATCCAAGACTGAGAAGTCTTGTCCTAAAGAGACAGATCTAAAAGGATATGAAAGTATATAAGAGCTACTGTAATTTAATTTGGGCACATAAGTGATTCTGCAAAATAAAAAAAATTAAAAAGTGACTTTTGGATACCAGCTGTACAGAAATAGCAAATCATCATGAAAATGAGAAAGCAAGCAGTCATCACCTCCTCCTCCTCTCCTCCTCCTCTGAGACTCCGCTATCTCTCTCTCATTTTCTTTCCTGAATCAAAGAAGTATCTATGGTCACTTATACACAGCCTTATTGTAGTTGCTGCCACAAATGAGTCTAAAGCTCCTTTTGTCTGCATGTGCCCAAATCAAAGTGTATGTAAGTCACCAACACTATTCTCTATAGGTAATAACTCATCCCCTTAATTATTCAAACATGCATTCATTCTTTTTTTCACTCATTCACCAAATACACATGTAATACCAACTATGCACCAGACACTGTTGATGATCTGAGAAACAAAGGCATACAAAGCCCTCTGACAATTCTCTTACTCTATGGACTTACATTTAAGTATGTAGGACAAGGGAGACAGAAAATTTATAAAAAATGTATATATATAGCAAAACAGGTACATTAGACGGTGCATTGCTTTGATAGTGCTGAACCACCAAAGTGGGGAGGAAATGCTAGGGCCTTGTGGCAACAGTGGAATTCAGTTCCGAGACCAGGCAGTCAGGAGGTCCTCCCAGGGAAGATGCCAGTAGAACAAATGAGGTTAGCCGTTTACCGGGCAGGTATGAGCTGGTAAGTGTCCTTCAGTTTATAGCTCTCCTTCCCAGGACAGGATCCGGGCACCGGTTCTCTAAGAATGACAGATGAGCTGATAGAAAAATTACTGTCCTTCCATTAAAGTAAGTTTGGATAGCTTGCATTTTCTTCTAAAGAAATCAATTTCATCAAGATTTTCAAAATTATTAGGATGAATTTTGTTTACTATTGTCAGATAAAAAACTCATTATCAACAGCTTTATTCCCTTTCCCTCTCCCCATAAGTGATTTTGTGTCCTTTCTGCCTTTTATTGTTGTTTTGTTGTGTTTGTTGTTTTGATTTGTTGTATTGAGGCCTTGGTAGAATAATTCTGTCTACCCTTCCTTTAAAAAACTATCCTGTGTTTATTTATTTGCTTTTTATTCTTATTGTTGACTTAAGATTTATTTTAATTTCATCTTTGTGCAGGTTAATTTTGTTACTCTTTTTCTAGCATTTTGAGTTTAGTTCTTAGTCTATTTTCATTGTTTCTTATTTAATAATAAAGTTTCCTTCATTGCAATGAGATTTCCTTTGCATACAGCTTTGGCCATAATTCATAACTTTTTAATGATATATTATCATAATTATTTGCTAAATATTCTGCAATTATGCTGCTATTTTTCTATATAAGCTCATAATTATTTGGAAGATAATAAGTTCCAAAAGCGATATTGTTTGTTTATCTAGCTTCATTGTATTTTTAGTTGAACCACCTTATGTTCAGAAATGTTACCTGTATAGATTTGAATGTTACTGATATTTTCATTGTGGCCTGAATTATACTAAAGCTGATAAATGTTTGATGGAAATTAAGGAGTCAACTATTAGTTACTAATTTTACCTAAAACATTATTGTGTCACCTTTTAATAACTTTATAAATCACTTCTTTTCTTCTTGATCTTTCAAATACCAAGAAAGTTAAGAAAAATTCTCCAAAAATGAGATTGTGTTAGTTTAGCATTTTAACTAGTTTTGTCTTGTGCATATTGATGCTATGATACTCAACATGTAAAGATTTATAACAGCTCTATTTTCATTTAACTCTGTGAATTTGATCATAAAATAACCTCTTTGGTGATATTCCATATAATGCTCCTTGAATTCTATTTGGTCTGATTTCATTAACTTTTATATTCTTTCTTAATTAACTTTTATAATGCATTTTTATTGCTAAATTTTCACATTCTTTATTTTTTCATATACTTTGAAAGCTATCTGTCCTGTTATTATATAACCATTGTTTATCTTTTAGCTTTTAAAACAACATATTTCAACTTATCATTTTCTAATATTGTGGAAGTTATTAAATATATTGACTTTTCCTTGTAGCTATCAGCTCCCTCTGATCCCAGGATTGCTAAAGTCTAAAGATCCTGCGTTTGGAGACATTATGTATATATATACATATATATGTATACACAGACACAGATATCTATGTAGTTTTTTTCTGTTTATAATGATTTGATGTGGTTCTCTTTTCATTTTTGCAAGGTGATAAGACTCCTTGCATAGTGTTATTGTATATACTTGAAAGTACTGCTTAACTAGCATAAAGCTATTCTGCAGAATTTCCAAAGGCGGGATGAGAAGTAATACCGCCTTGAAGCATATTTTCTGACTGTAACAGTTGTGATCACTGATGAATGCTAGCGTTGCCACGTCTGGTTGGCTAAGTCTGCTTGGATTCTGTCAGTCCTCTTGGCAGCATTGGCCTCACGCTGTGTGCAAACGGCCTGACAAAGAATCAGATGATGAAATTTGTTTGTGAAGGGCATAGAGTCATGGTCTTTACAGATTTGGAAGGAATTTATAATAAATTTCATCAAAATATATGTCCACATCCTCTCCAGTGTGTAGCCATGTTTGTATTATAACTGGGATCTCCAGCGCAGTTTCCTTGAAGAATCTGTGTTCTAAGGACTGTGATTAATGAGTTGGCCATCCATCCTCCAGAGCACATATTGCTGCCAGAACACACCTGGCNATGTTTGTATTATAACTGGGATCTCCAGCGCAGTTTCCTTGAAGAATCTGTGTTCTAAGGACTGTGATTAATGAGTTGGCCATCCATCCTCCAGAGCACATATTGCTGCCAGAACACACCTGGCTCTGGGGCTTCAGTTGTCATTGAATACTTTCAGTAAGTTTAGCTTTGAAGGTTGAGAATGCATTAAAATTGAGGAAGGGAAGGAGACAGAGAAAAACATAGATAAATAAGGAGAAGAAAATCAAGAAGGGGAAAGAGTATGTTAAGAGCAAGAGTTTAAAATATGTTGCTGCAAGGAAGTATTCTAATCATCTTAGTAAGTTTGGATTTTCAGTATAGATTTTAATCAAATAGTTAAAATTGTATTATTCTAATGTGTTCCAACTTGTGTAGCTGTTTGCTTATTTGAATAATGCTGCCTTAGTTTAAAATGTGTTTAAACTCCTCACAATATTTGATAATTCACTGGTCCTTTGGGAAAGCTCACTAGTCGTTTGATTCATGGTCACTATATGTGACCTCTGGACTGTTAATGGCCTAGCAGAGTTTTATGGTTACCATTTTTATTTCTTGGGAATTGGAAAGCTTATGGTTTATGGAATATTCATGAAGCAAGGAGAAAAGGCCGATTGGCAGACTCTAAGAGCATCCACGGGCAGCCTGAGTGTGTTTTTAGGCATCAGGAGGGAAAGTGGATGTTTTGCTTCTGCGACATTACTGTAATTCTGGCTTTGACTTTGCCCTTCCAGTATTTAAGCTGAGCTCTATTTTCGTGGATCTATCTTTCTATACACTTACTGCTTCTTAGAGTGCCTGCTTGCTCACTGACACAGGTGATCTGGGTTAACAGGATGTTTTGGAAAATAACTATAAAATGTGGCGATTTCTTAATAAAATCATATTTTAACAATTATTTGAAAATATATTCCACAGTTCTTGTTCAGTCAGAAAGTATACATTAATATATGCACATTGTATATTGTGAAAAAATCCCATGATATAATGACTAAAATTCCTTGGACTTTTGCATTGTGTCAGGTACTGTGTGATATGCTTATCATGTGCTAATTAATTGCAAGCTCACAATAACTGTTTTATAGATGAAGAAATTGACCCTTGAAGCTGTCAAGTTGATGTATTCAAGATAACACAACTAGAAAATGGTAGACCCAATATTAAGCTTAATTTAGCTGGGTCTGAGTGTAGGGTTCGTTCTCTTCAATTCTGTTTTATAGTATTTAATTTATAATATAGCTATACAGATAGACATTAGAATGTGTGTGTATGTGTGTGTGTGTGTGTGTGTAATACATGTGTATAAAATGATGAGCCTAACACAGAGTCTTTTGTTTGTATTTCTATGACTAAATAGCAGCAGCAAAATACTCCAAATGCTTTTAGTAATAATTTACAGACATTGTAGATACACTTTAATTCTAACAACTTATAAAATATGTTCTATTTTTGTCCATGTTTTACCAATGAGGATATTGCTAGTTAGGAATCAAGCAATCTCCCAAAGTTATTTATCTGGTAAGTGGCAGGGCTGGGCTTGCAAACCTCAAACTTCTCATTTCACATCTTAATGACTGATTAGATGTTGGGGCAGGGAAATGAAGGACGAGATAGATGGCGGTGGCACCATTCATTAGAATAGAGAAGAGCGGTGAAGCATGTTTAATGAAGAAGCTAATTAGTTCAAGTTTAGACAGGTGGACTTTTCCATAGCGAGACATTTTCTCCTATCCCA